CCCAAGCTTTATCCGAAAGAATGGTTGCCATTGCTAACCAAACTTTCCCTTTGAACACAAAACAATTACGGTTCTTCCATAGTCTCCATATGAGGACACCAAACAGGTGTTTCCAGTGGAACTCCAGGTCCAGGGTGTCCAAACCTGCATTGTTAGACAAATTCAACTGTAACCAATCTAATAAAGGGGAAGAGAACGAGTGAGGTGACAATCCCAGGGTACATGTAGAATAGTTTCATTGCCTTCCCCACACACCGGAGAGCAGCCTACATCCGTGATACCCCGTCTCTTATGTTCGCCATTGGTCTTGAGTCGGCGTCGAATGACAAGCCAGATGAAGTTACGAATTCTTTGTGGTCATTTGAAATCCCACGCCAATTTCCAATTGTCATCATTGGCATCCCACTTATCTATGTTCAGAAGATTGAAGGCTGATTTAATGGAGCACACGTCATAGTATAAAATAGCGGTTGCGGCATCTGTCGCAGTTGCGGTTGCGGTGCTGCGGACGTTACGTAATGTGTTGCGGCTGTCGCAGGCGTGATTTTTTAATGTGTTGCTGCTGTCGCTGGCAGTTGCGTTGCGTTAATATTACGTCGCGGTGACCTTCAAAACCGTTATGATGCGACCGTTACACTACGTTGCGGCCGCAATTTAATACCATGGCACACGTCCATTTTGTCCCATCTCCAAATAGGGAGATCGTTGCCTTGGTCGGCATCAGGAGGCAGAATACTAAGGATCCTATCAACCACATCGTCCGGAAGCAAATGGTGAAGGAGTTGGAGATTCCAATTGCCAGTATCCGATACAAATTCACACACCTTAGCTCGAGGATTTGGAACCGGGTTCACGATGGAAGCGTTAGCAAGGGTAACCATATCACTAATCCAAGAATCATTCCAGAAGCTCGTGTTGCGACCGTCACCAATAGACCAACAAACGTTCTCTCGTACATGATTCCAAACCTTGGACAAGGATTTCCAAACGAAGGAGCCATACTTCCCATCAATGAATAGAGGCATGGGTTCCTTCACTTTGTACTTTCCTAGCATGATTTGAGCCCAGATCGAGTTAGGTCTCATGAGGAAATTATAGCCAAGCTTAGCAAGGAAGATTTCATTCCGAGCTCTTAACGAACGAATGCCGAGTCCCCCATGTTTGGTGGGCTGACAACAAGTCTCCCAATTAACCAAATCCAGTTTAGGATTAAGTTTTGTACCTCCCCAAATGAATCTTCGCGCAATTTGTTCCAGCTGGTCACATGTGCCCTTTGGAATTGCCAGTCTGCATGAAATAGTTGGAAACGGTAAGAAGAGTGGACTTTGCTAGTGTGATCCGACCAGCCAAGGATAGTTTCGAAGCTGTCCAACCACTTAATTTCTTCTCAACTTTGTCGATTATGAACTAAAAGGCACTCTCAGTAACTCTGTTGTGGAACAAAGGCATGTTAAGGTACTTACCGAGATTCGTAGAAAGTTGAGTCTTGTTCGAGTTAACTTTGCGCCTATAGAATCTGCTAAATTGGTCTATCATTGCTCCTACTAGGTGGGTTTAATGTTGGGTGGCTCTGCGAAATAAGACGAGGTCATCTGTAAAGAAAAGAAGGGACAGAGGAGGGCTACCTCGAGACATAACCATAGGCTCCCAAAGATTGTTCTCCATGGCGTAGTGTATGCTCTGTCCAAGTCTTTCCATACACAACACAAACAAGAAGGGGGATAGAGGGCAGCCCTGCCGAATTCCTCTGGTAGGTCCAAATTCATCAGTAAGAGACCCGTTCCAAAGGATTTGCATAGACGAGGTGGTTACCGCATCCATAATAATGCGCCGAATGTTAGACGGACATAGGGATGGCAACGGGCCGGGTTCGGGCCGGGTATTGGTCCCCCCGTCCCCGTTTAAAAATCCGGTACCCATCCCCGTTTAAAAAATCGCGGGGATTTAAACGGGAATCCCCGTCGGGTAATCGGAGAAAACCGCGGGGAAACGGGTATCCCGTTTAGCACAAACGATTATTTAAACAGGTATTGGGCCAGGTATTGGGTCGGGTATTGGGTCGGTATTGGGCTGGGAATCGGGCCGGGTATATATATATATTTATTTAAATTAAATATATATTTTTTATTTAAATTAAATTTATTAATATTATATATATATATATATATAAATAATTATTTTTAATATTTATCGGGTCGGGTATCGGGACGGGTAATCGGGGCGGGTAATCGGGTAATCGGGGCGGGGATTACCAAACCCGTCCCCGTCCCCATCCCCGTTTAAAATAAATGGATTTTCCCCGTCCCCGTCCCCGTCCCCGTTTATCATCCTCAAACCCGACCCGTTTAATTCGATTTTCGATTTTCCCCGTCAGATTCAAGTTTTTTTTGCTTCATATCTTTGAGAGAGAGTCTTCAAGGAAGTCTCATCCAACGTGGTCATAAGCTTTTTTTCAAGTCAACTTTAACCGCCATCCACTTAGTTTTTCCTTTCTTCCTCTTCATTGAATGTATCGCTTCCTGAGCCACGAAAATGTTATCGGTAATGTTACGACCTGCAATAAAGCTCACTTGATTCGGAGAAATAATATTTGGGAAAATTATTCAGAATCTATTAGCAATAATCTTCATGATTAATTTGTACAGAACCAAACACAAACTGATAGTCGAAAGTCTGCATAAGATTCAGGATTCTGAACTTTTGGAACAAGTACAAGAACAATTTTATTAAAAGCAGGGCCGATAGAATTACCGTTGAATATACCTTTAACCCATGAGCAGATGGAGAGGCCTACCGTATCCCATTGGTTTTGAAAGAACAAAGCATGGAGACCGTCCTTCCCTGGTGCTTTAATGGGACTCATGTCAAAGAGGGCTTTAGTAATTTCCTCATACTGAACGGTGGCATCAAGGAAACGAGCTCCTGTTGTTACAGCTTAGGGAAGGAATTTTTGATAGGATAAGTACCAGATCGGCCACCATCGTCCCTATATTATGAAGCAAAGAAAGATATGGCTTCTTTACGGAGATTTTCTTCGTCGTAGCACCAATCATTATTGATTTTGAGGGCTTGGATCCGGTTTGCTTTCCTGCGGTTAAGAGCGCGACCATGAAAAAACTTAGTGTTTCAGTCGCCATCGATGATCCATTCACATCTAGATTTTTTACGCCAAAGGAGTTCTTCGTGATCAAGGACTTCATCTAGCTTTGCGCGAATCTCCATCTCTTTATCAATGAGGTAAGTGTTGCCGGAACGGTCCATATCAGCTTGAATATAGGCTAAGTGACGTTTGAGTCTCCTCTTTTCCAAGACTATGTGGCCGTAGACATCCCTGTTCCAAAGTTTGAGAGTTTATAAAGGAATTCACGGAATGAGGGAGATTACCTTCAGGCCTCCAGTTATTCCTAACAAAACTGTTGAAGTCCGGGTGTTTGGTCCAGCCTGCTAAAAAGCGAAACGGTCTAAGTTGATTTGGTCCACGATCGCTACCTGTGTGAAGAAGTATCGGGCGATGGTCCGATTTGACCCGTGGTAGGTGGTTGACAATGTAATTTGGAGCCAGCTTGAGCAATCTTTCATTAGCAATCATGCGATCAAGCCGCTCGAAAACACCTCCTCGCGTCCATGTGAGGCTGGGCCTTTAAAACCCAAATTTGTAAGTTGATCGTTGAGGAAGTCTCGAAATAAATTACAGACTATCCCTCTACGAACACCTCCACTTTTCTCATCACTGGAGAAGATAGCATTAAAATCGCCGGCCAGAATCCACGGAACATCAGTGTCGATTCGCATTTCACCCAAGTCTAGCCAGAGATTATGTCTTTTTGTCCTATCAGGGCTGCCATAAACCACGTTAATATAGAAAAAAGATATAGAATTAGGCCACTGAACTTTAACCTGGACATATTGAGGATGGGCAGCCATCACATCGACTATAAGGGGGTCATTCCATATGAGCCAAATGCCACCAGAAAATCCGAAGGCTTCCGCTCTAAAGGAGTTATTAAAACCAGTCTTAGCTATAACTTGATCAGTCTTAGAACCGCTGATCCAGGTCTCCATAAGCGCCACCAAATGGGGTTTGTGCTCTTGAGTATATTCTTTCAAATTCTTGGAAATTTAATTCCGCCGCATCCCTGACAGTTCCAAGTCATTAGTGTAAAATCCATAAAGAAAAGATAGAGAGTACCTTAAAATTAATTTCCTGCAGCTTGAGCTTGCTGTTCATTCCGATCCATGCTTATTGGTTGCGAGTTTTGAATATTGGTCACAACCTCTGCCATAGCTACTCTTAGAGGAGTATTGTTTGTAGCTGTTGGAAATGTCTCTAGTGGCTGCAACTTATCCTAGTTTTTAGGAGTTTGTTATGCATTTTACTTAATCAAGTTTAGTTGTTGTATTTTAGCTAAGTAGTTGCCATGTTTTATGTTAGTGGCAGTACATGGAAACATGGGTAGAAGTTTCAGCTTATTAGTTATTTGTGATGTATTTAAGCAGGTTTTTACTTGAATGAAAATTGTCTTTCATCTCTTTCTGTTTTTACTACAAATTGGTACCAGAGTGAATCTTCTTGAGGTACCTATGTGAGAATTGAGAGACTACCATCAAACCAAACTTCACAAAATGCAATCTGAAATTTCTTTTTCAGCTGTAGCACCTCCAGTGTTTGAAGGTGAAAACTACCAAGTTTGGGCAATTAAAATGGAGTCCTATTTGGAAGCAAACGACCTTTGGGAAGCTGTTGAGGAGGATTATGAAATTACTCCTCTTCCAGCAAATCCAACGGTTGCTCAAATAAAGAACCACAATGAGAAGAGGCAAAGAAAATCAAAGGCTAAGTCCTGCTTGTTCAACGCTGTTTCTGCAACAGTTTTTACTAGAATTATGACCTTGAAATCAGCCCAGGAAATCTGGGATTTTCTCAAGACGGAGTACGAAGGCAATGTGAAGATCAAAGAGTGTGTGTGCTGAATCTGATCAGGGAATATGAAATGCAAAAAATGAAGGAATCAGAGACTATCAAAGAATACTCCGATAGACTTCTGAGCATTGTAAATCAGGTAAGATTGCTTGGCAAAGAGTTTTCTGATTCTAGGATTGTTCAAAAGATTTTGGTTACTATTCCAAAAAGATTTGAATCCACGATTTATTTGTTGGAAAACTCTAAGGATGTGTCAAGCATTACGTTGGCAGAATTATTAAATGCTTTGCAAGCTCAAGAGCAACGAAGGCTGATGAGACTTGAAGGCACCGTTGAAGGAGCTATTGCTGCAAAGTTGCACATCAGCCACAATAATAAGGGGAAGAAGAGAAATGAAAAGAAGAGTGTAGAAGATCAAGCTTACAGCAAGGGAGAAGGAAGTGATCAGTAAGAATATCCATCATGTCAACACTGTGGAAAGAAGGGTCACCCACCTCACAAATGTTGGAGGAGGCTAGATGTTACATGCAACAAGTGCAAACTCTTGGGACACATTGCAAAGATATGCAAGTCCAAAGAGAAATATCAGCAAAGTGAGGCTCAGGTTGTCGAGCAAAAGGAGGATTAACTATTTGTTGCTTCTTGTTTTGCAACTAGCATTGCAAATGAGAGTTGGCTGATTGATAGCGGCTGATTGATAGCGGCTGCACCAATCATATGACACATGATATTGAGCTTTTCAAAGAGCTTAATAAGGTGGTTATGTCACAGTCAGAATTGGAAATGGAGATTTCATTGTTGTCAAAGGTAAATGTACTATTGCCATTGAAAGTAGTCTTGGTACTAAGTTAATTCAATATGTTCTTTATGTTCCTGAAATTAATTAGAACCTGTTAAGTGTGGGTCAACTGCTTGAAAAAGGCTACAAAGTTGTGTTTGAAGACAATATGTGTTCAATAAAAGATTCAAGTGGGTCTGACATGTTCAAGGTCAATATGAAGGGAAAAAGCTTTTCTTTAAATATGATGGAGACAGAGCAGGCTGCTATGATGAGTTCGGTTACTACAACTGAGCTTTGGCACAAGAGGATGGGGCTTTTCAACCACGTTGCTCTATTGTATATGAGGAGAAAGAATCTTGCAAGAGGAATTCCTCCTCTGGATGATCACTTAATAAGTTGTAAAGCATGCAGATTTGGAAAACAAACTAGACCCTCGTTTTCTAATGCAACGAGCAGGGCCAGAACAAAGCTACAACTAATACATACGTATATTAGAGGGGCTATACCTGAATTTTCTTTAAAGGGGAGTAAATATTATATTCTCTTTATTGATGATTTTAGTAGACTGTGTTGGATTTATTTCTTGAAATTCAAGTCTGAAGTGGCATGAGTTTTTTGGAAATTTAAAGCTTGGGTTGAGAACCAAAGTGGCTGCAAAATTTAGGTCATAAGATCTGATAATGGCAAGGAATACACCTCAGAACAGTTCAATATGTTTTGCGAAGATGCTAGAATTGAGCACCAACTCACTACTCCATATACTCCTCAACAAAATAGAGTGAGTGAGAGGAATAAGAACTGTAATGGAGATGGTACGGAGTATGCTACATGAGAAACGGTTGCCGAAGAAGTTTTGGGCAGAAGCTGCGAATACAGCTGTGTTCCTGTTGAATAGGCTTCCCACGAAGGCAGTGCAAGGGAAAACTCCATTTGAAACATGGTATGGTTATAAGCCTTTTTATCCAAAATTTTAAAGTTTTTGGTTGTGTTTGTTTCACTTATGTACCTAGTGTGAAACGAGATAAATTGGATAAAAAGGCAAATTCTGGAATTTTTATTGGTTATAGCACAACTTCAAAGGCTTATAGAGTCTACCAGCCCAAAACTGGTAATATTCTAATAAGTCGAGATGTTCATTTTGTTGAAGATCAACAGTGGAATTGGGAAGATGAAGAAGTGAATCTAGTTCCTAATATTGAATCATTTAAGGATGAGAATATTGATGATCTTCCAGTTAGGGGAACTAAATTGCTTTCTAACATCTATGAAAGGTGTAATGTTGGTGTTTTAAAACCGACAGATTTTTATATAGCTAAAGATGATCCAAGATGGATATCAACAATGCAAGAGGAGCTTCGTATGATTGAAGGGAATCAAACATGGGAGTTGGTTCCTAGGCCTTGTCACAAGAAGGTCATCGGAGTAAAGTGGGTGTTTAGAACCAAGTTAAATACAGATGGTTCTATTAACAAGCACAAAGCCAAACTTGTAGTGAAAGGATTTGCTCAAGTGTTTGGAGTAGATTTTTCAGAGACTTTTTCTCATGTTGCTTGACTTGATACAGTCAGATTGCTTATTGCGTTGGTCGCACAAAAGGGATGGAAGTTATTTCAACTAGATGTGAAATATGCTTTTCTTAATGGCTATTTGCAGGAGGAAATTTACGTTGAGAAGCATGAAGGTTTTGTGGTGGATGGAGAGGAGAATAAGGTGTACTTGCTTAAAAAGGCCTTGTACGGTTTAAAGCAGGCTCCATGGGCATGGTACGCTAGAATCGATGAGCATCTCCTTAGTCTTGGTTTCGAAAAAAGTCCAAGTGAGCCAACACTATATGTCAAGCATTTAACTGTTGATATTTTAATCATTTTCATTTATGTAGATGATATCTTAGTGACTGGAAATAATGATGTGTTGGTTTGAAACTTTAAGGAAGAAATGAAAGTATTTGAAATGACAGACTTGGGAACCATGGCATATTTCCTTGGGATGGAGGTAAGACAAGATCATCAAGGAGTCTTTATTTTTCAAAGAAAGTATGCTAAAGAGATCTTGAAGAAGTTTCACATGGAGAATTACAAGTCAGTAAGTACTCCAATGAATCAAAAAGAGAGACTTTGCAAAGAACATGGTGCAAAAAAGGTTCTAGAGGATGTCTATCGGAGTCTTATAGGTTGTCTAATGTATCTCACAACAACAAGACCTGACATTTTGCATGATGTAAGTGTCCTCACCAGATTCTCCCAAGCTGCTAGTGAAGAACATTTTATTGTTGCTAAACGACTGCTGAGATATGTCAAAGGAACTATTGACTATGGTGTCATGTTCAAACATGGTCAAGAATTCAATTTTCATGGATTCTCTGATAGTGATTGGGGAGGATCCTTAGATGATATTAAAAAGCACTTCAGGATATTGTTTCACGATTGGTTCATGAGTGTTCTCTTGGAGTTCAAAGAAGCATGATATAGTGGCTCAATCCATTGCTGAAGCGAAGTTTATAGCTGCTACAGCAGCTGTAAATCAAGCCTTATGGTTGAGGAAGATTTTGAATGATTTATCTTTGAGCAAAGGAGGAGAACATAAGTGTTTGTGGATAACCAAGCTGCAATTGCAATCTCCAATAATCCAGTCTTTCATGGAAAGACCAAACACTTCAACATTAAACTTTATTTTCTTAGAGAAGTCCAGAAGAATGGTGAAGTTTCTTTGCTCTACTGCAGCACAAATGACCAGCTGGCTGATATATTTACTAAGGCTCTTCCAAGGAGCAGGTTTGAATCATTGAGAAAAGCTTTAGGAGTTTGCAACTACTGATTCAAGGAAGAGTATTGGAAATGTCTCTAGTGGCTGCAACTTATCCTAGTTTTTAGGAGTTTGTTATGCATTTTACTTAATCAAGTTTAGTTGTTGTTTTTTAGCTAAGTAGTTGCCATGTTTTATGGTAGTGGTAGTACATTGAAACATGGGTAGAAGTTTCAGCTTATTAGTTATTTGTGATGTATTTAAGCAGGTTTTTACTTGAATGAAAATTATGTCTTTCATCTCTTTCTGTTTTTACTATAGTAGCCTTGGCCTTAAGCTTCGATCCTCTATCCCGAATGACATAGGGGGAGTTTCTTTCCTTGGTGCTAGTAGGAAGGCGATTAGTAGTCGAGACCTGTTGCTTCGGTTTTGGCCGCACTACGGCAGTGGTTTCCATGCAAAAACTTAATGCTTTATGATGGTTTGAGTCCAAAGAAATTTCTTACGTTCGCCCCTCCATCCCTAAAGAGTTATCAAACACGGGATTAATATTAGACAAGAACCTAGACCCATAAAGCTTACCGTCTCAGCTTGATTAATGTTATTGTCGAGGGTTGGAGTGGTGTTTTCCACGTGCTGGTCCTGGTTCCCATTAAAATTTTGCATGGGATTGTTGACGCGGGTAGGCTCCATGCAAAATTTTGCTTTGGCTGTTTTCAATCCTTGATGTAGGAGGAGTGGGGGCCACCACAGCATTAACCCTCAAGGGTTTTGTCAAATATGAGTTCTGAAAGTTTATGTTGGATGGGATCACTCGGCCTTGATTTCTGCCGTCGTTTTGCTGCACAGAATCATTGTTAACTTGGTTAATATGGTCAGTAACAGCTTTATTTCCCGTAATACTAGGATCAGATATAGGTGCGGGATTGGTAACAATTTCACTTCCCTGTTTATCGCCGTCTAAGTTTGGAAGTTTTCCTTTGTTTGGGCTGCTACCTTTGAGGATCTCAAAGCGTGATCCTGTTGCCTTATTTGATTTGGTTGCAGTTTTTTTCTTTTCTGATCCCGGTGGCTGTCGCCGACAGCGCCGTTCAACGACCATCCATGGTCCATAAGGGTTTGATTCCGGCATACCTTGATTGTCAGCATTTTTATTGCCATTTGTCTCGGTCAGTGTAGCTCCATTCACGGCTCTGGCTTGCCCTTCATTATTAGTGTTCAAGGATTGACCCACGGTGGAGACGGTAGGAACAGTATCGGACGGTTTGCAAGTCTCTTTCAGGTGGCTAAAACGGCCACAAGAAAAGCATATGAGCGGCAAATTTTCTTACTCCACTATTTGGATCTTTTCCCCAATAACAACTTTTGGTATGAGTGGTTTCGTAAGGTCTACATAGATAGCAACTCGAGCGAAACATCGTCGATGGCTTGTGGCCTTTTGAAAATTGGGCTTAGCCACTCGACCCACTAAGCTGCCGATACAAACAAGAATTTTCTTGTTGTACATGTACTCAGGGAGGACCGGAAATCTCATCCACCCAACAACAGTTGTTGGATACGGTTGGGATGTACAGAATTCCATCGACCACACCTGAACAGTGAGGTACTGGTCGTATATCATCCACGGTCCGTCCGCCAAAACCTTGAAAAAATCTTCGTCATTTTTAAAACGAGCCAAGAAGTAACCATTCTCAAGTTCCATAAGGGTGAATGGTTGAGACGGTTGCCAAAGTGCATAAGTTTTGTTGGTTAAGGCGTTCAGACCAATGTTCCTTCCCAAAAGTTTCAGCACCACCGTTCTAGTCATGCTTACTTCCATTAATTTGTACGCTCGCTCGGTGAATTGGATGGAGGGTAGCCGATATCGGGTTCCCTTGATGATATCCTTCTCCGAGATATCGAAATCATTGTTGCAATCTTCTTGTTCG